TGAATGGTCAGTATAAAAATTTTCCTGTTATGTGCTCTTTTAAAAGACTTGAAGACTTGCACTAACATTGTAACTATACATATAAAAATTCAGTAAATATAATTTATTGCAGTTTTTTATATTATTAAATGCTTTACTTGTTGGTACTTTATTATGATATAGATATTGTAATGATGATGCCTAGACTACTTTTAAATATAATCTTTGACTCTTGTCCTTTAATATTATAGATTTGTTTCTTTCAGCCCCTTCCTTTTTTCTTTTTTGAAAGCTGTAGAACCTTCTTGAAAGAAAGAAAGAAAGAAAGAAAGAAAGAAAGAAAGAAAATAATGTAGAATCCAATTTGCTAAAAAAGATTACAACATAGGACTGAGGGGCCCTTCCCCTTCACCATCCTTGGCAGTGGTTGAGGAACTTGCAGAAATCCCAGTTTGAAAACAATTGCCTTAAGTTGCAAAAACCAGCTCTTATAGAAGACCCTACCAAATGATCTCCTTCTGACAGCTGGCCCAAGGGATGCTCTGTTGATATGGAGAAGCACATTATTTAATACATAGGGGGTTTTGTTTGTTTGTTTGTTTTTTAATAATCAATTTAGGACAACTTGAAATTTGTGAGAAAACTTTAAGAAAATTAAAAACATAAAAATTAAAGACTTATGCTAAGCAAAATAAGTCAGATAGAAAAAGTCGAGAATCATATGATTTCACTGATATGTGGGATATAAAACCGAAAGCAACAAAGGAACAAGACAAACAGATAAAGAAACAAAAACTCATAGACACAGACAATAGTTTACTGTTTACGAGAGGGTAAGGGAAGACGGTGGTAGATGAGGGTAAACGGGGTCAAATATATGGTGATGGAAGGACAACTGAACACACAATGTGATCTATAGATGATGTATTGCAGAATTGTACACCTGAAATCTATGTAACTTTGCTAACAATTGTCACCCCAATAAACTTTAATTAAAAAAATAATAAAAAACTGAGATTTGACCAACCAGCATTTGGAAATATTTAGTAAGCTCCTTTTCATGTATGGCCCTGTGACTGAAGCAGGGGGAGGGGTGAATTGAATGGAAAGGTGAATTGAATGGAAAGGTGAATATGAAACGTCACCTGTCTATGCACACAGGTATACTTCTAACAAAGGAGATGAGATAGGCCCATATGACCTAGTACAGTATTGAAAGGGGCAATAGGTGTCCTGAGAGAGGTGCAGTAAGTTCTATCTGGAGCAGGAGATGATTGGCAGCAGGAGGGAGCAAGATGACTTCTTGGAGGAAGGACTTGAGCTGGGTTGGAAAAGAAGCAGGTAAGGAGTGAGGAAAGTGTGCATGGTGTCTAGCAAACCACAAGGAGATGAGTTCAGCTGCAGGTCAGGTACCACAGAGGTGAACAGTCAGAGTCAGGTTGAGGCCAAATGATATAGGGCCTGTCTTGCCAGTGTATGCAATTTGATCCTTAAAACAATTATGACATACTAAGAGAATGTTGTAGTAAACATAAAAATAAAAAAAATATTTGTATCTCTGTGGTTTTTGTACATAGTGTATCTAATGACTTGGATATAGTTTCCTTTATTATTATGTGAAATTGTTTTTTTCAGGCAGAAGCTGACAGCATTGTGACTTTGCAGCCATTTAGAGATAAATGTGAACCAGTTTTTCTTTTTAGTGTTGTAAGTACAATATTTATTATCTCAAGTGTATTATCAGATTCCAATTTACAGTTAGAGAAAAGTAGCATTGTAAAATTGCCATGGAACTCTGATGATGACAGTAATTATAGATTTTTTGCCTTATCTTTGCTTGTCTATTAATAGATTTTATAACCTGACCTCTAGCAGCTGATAATGGATTGAGAAATTAGACTACCACACACTGAGTTAACCAGGAAAAAGAAAAACAAGATGTATTATACTTACCTTTCTTAGGAAATAATCCGAGAATTCGTATGATGAATTATTATTTACAGGAGTGAAAAATTGGAAATTTCTTAGATACCCAGTAGGAGAGAATTGATTATAAATATTCATGTATACCAATACAAGGAAATATCTGTATGATCACTATTTTGTACTATATATTGCTTTTATCTCTGTATTTAGAAATGCATAGATCAAAGACAGAAAGTATATTCAGCAAAATGTCAATAGTAGTCTTCCATGTTTGGGGGAAGGATGCATAGTTTAAGTTTTCTTCTTTATACTTTTCTATATTTTCTGTGATGAATACACAACTTCAATGATCAGAAAAACATAGTAAGTGCTATTTTCTAAAAAGAGAATATACAGTTAAGTGCTAGACACAGAGAATAGCTGCTACAGAGCTGGGGAACTGGGATAGTAAGCAGAGTCTTCACAAAGGGCCAGGACGGCCCCTCTGCTGCTGGATACTTCATTGTCATTTTGATATTAGAAATAATGACTTAAAAACCCTTCTTGGATATAACTCTTTGCTTCTGTTAAATAATACTCTTTCAAAGAACTGAATTACTGGGTTAATTGAACTAAAATATTGCATTGTACATCTGGATATGTAGGATTTGATGATTTGGATGAGGGGTCATCCAACTTTTATGTGTAAAGGCCAGAGTATAAGTATTTTCAGCTTTGCCAAAATACTGGCTCTGTGTTGGGTCATAGTGTGCTGACCCCTGACCTAGAGGTAATTTAGGGGACCAGAATGAGAAACCGCACACAGCAGAAATGGACTTGGGCTGGTGGGACAATGAGGAGACTCTAGCAGCAATGGTAGTTAGGAACATGGGACTGAGGAAGAAAGACAGGGTAGGTGGAGTCTGGAGCTTTGGGACAGCTGTCACCCTGCCAAGTTGGTCAGGTCTGATAGTACACCCATGCCCGCCCTCCTTAAATGGACCTTCCAGTCCATGTTCTCTTATCTGCAATCAATTCTCAAAGTGTAAGTCCACCCTTCCTTCCAGCCATGCATGCTTCATTTTTCTAACCCTCAGAATTTTCTTTTCCTGACCAGTTCTTAGTTCTCCTCCATCTCTCAAAGCCTTTCACTGTGTGACATCTGGAATTGCTGTAAGCGATTTGTCAATTTCCTAAGATCTTTACCCATGGCTCTGAGCTTTTGTTCCACTTCCTTGACTGTCCTTAAATCTGGCTCCTTACTTAAGGCATTTTCTGTGCTGCCCAGAAGTGGTGACCATTTTCTCAGATTGTTTCTCAAGGCAGGAGTAGAATTGATGTTTCCTTTACTTCTTACTCCAATAACTTTCTTTTCTTTGCTTACTGGAGGTCCACCGTATTTGACAACACCTCCTCTCCCCCACCTTACTCCTGTCATTACTGGCCTTTGAATTAATTCTGTAGATGACTGAAGACTTTGGCATGTGGCTCAAAGTCTTCCTTTCAAACCCAAGTCCTGCCATCACCCTGGAACTTCAGTATCCATATCTGCAACCCACCCACTCCCTGGACTGGCCTTTCAATTCTATTTTTCTTTTTATAGTCACATAATATTTTATTTACTGACCTCTCTGAAACTTGTCAAAATTCATATGGCTAATGGAACTTTCCATATTAAAGTGTTGCTCAACATAACAAATTTCTAACAAAAAATATTTTAATGTAGGAATCAACATGTGAACATTACATTAGGTGGTAATATTCAGGTTACAAATATAAGATAAATATCAAATAATATCATGCTTTGGGTTTAACAGGAAACCTAAGTTGTGGCAGTCATGCTTAACACCTTGGTTAAGCAAAGAGAGAAATGGTCAGGGAGGTCAAAAAGGTATGCAAAGGTTTAACAGTTCACATAATTCTTAGCCCTTCTGAGAAACTATAGCTGGGAAATATATGTCAACTATTTCTGTAATATGTTGGTTTCAGTCTGTCAGTAATCATTCTGTTCATGCATTTATGATAAGTGCAGTTGTTTTGAGCACCGAAAACTAGATTCAAAGTAAGTCTGCTCAAGTTAATAATACGATGAATCCTTGATGTTCAAAAATATAGTTTAAATTTGGAAAGTTTAAAGTAAGCATACTTGTTTTCCCAATTACTATGGATACAATTGAAACTACACTACTGTACATAATCAGCTATACTGCTGTGCAGTTAATTCTAGTTACTGTATTTTATACTTGTTGGTCAACAACAGCACAAATTATATGCTCTAAAAAAATAATTCAATCCTTCAAAAATGGTTACATTGACTTTTATTTTAAAGACGGATAAGGTGAATTTAAGGAAGAATGGGCTTTTCTTGACATCTCATTTTCAATTACTGATACAAATTTACCAAAAGAAATAACTATATATTTTACCCAGCATCAAATAATCTGCAAATTTCCAAGATAAATGCACTTCTTGTTCAATTTCCAAAAATAAATAAAGGCTTTCTAACTGAAAGCATTTATATTCCTAGCTCTCTAAAGTAAACATTAAAAAACAAAGTGCAAAAAATGATCTCAGGGCTTCTGAATAGCCCACTTAGTTGCATAAAGTATTTTCTGTCCCAACACTTTCTCAGATTCAAAAGATATTTACTTCCTAAGAACATGGCAAACAATCTTCATTTCAAACCAGTCTATTTCCATGGCGACACTGCCAAAAGATTCCTTGGCCACCGTTAAGTCCTCTATTAGTTAGTTGACTCTGGAATTTCTTCTTTACATCTTCAGCTTGGTCTGTTTTATACGCCAAACAAACTAAATCACCTGTTACTTTAATACACAAACTTCCATCAATCTGCCTATATTTGAGAATCACACGTGCCCTCACAGGGTGAGCGAGGTAGAGTTGCTGGGTGCGTCACCGAACTCCCAGGCCTGGTACTGTGGCCTCGAGGGCCCACGGCCGAATGGGAAAGGGAGACACCGTGGGATCAAGGTGGCACATCCAGGACCACCCACCTACGTAGCTCCTACCTTTGGCCTTTCAATTCTTGACCTCTTAACTTCCATTGAACTTTTCTTCCAGTGCACCTCCTCCAACTATTCCTGCAGTTATGCCTCCGACTTTGTTATCACTTACTGTTCCATATCCATTACCATTAATATAAGAATGATCTGTAACCACAAAGCCACCATCAATCCCATTGCTTGTTTTCTCAAATATTCCCACAGTGGTCCTTTGTATTGGTCAGCATTCTTAGCTGACAACAAATTCATTCCAGCAAATTTCAGCAGGACGGGCTTTTTCGAGGGACATTAGACAGCTCACCGAGTTGTTGGAAAGTTCCTTTTAGTGGAAAGTGGTCATTAGAGTGTCTGGTTTCATTTAAACCTTTTTCAACTGGATCCTTCTAATTGGCCTTCAAATATGACTAAGTTTTTCCAATTAAAAAATAATATTTTTTGGTATCATGTTCCTCTCCAGCTACCACCCATCTCTCTCCTTTACCTCAGAGCTAAATTTCTCAAAAGAGATTTTACATTTACTTTTACTCCATTTCTTCTCATCCCATTAACTTCACATCCATTCAATCTAACTTTTGTCTGATTATTCCACCAAATTTGCTGTTGCCAATGATAACCAATTACTGTCCTTGTTAAATGAAACGGATACTCTGAGGTCTTCATATACTGTACCTCTCAAATGTACTGCATAGAGTGATCATGTCTTCTTCCTTTTTGAAACATTTGCTTCTTTTGATTTTTGTGACTTGGTTTTTCTTTCACTGTCCTAGATGCAGGTTCACCCTTTTATTTATTTATTTATTTATTTATTTATTTATTATTGTGAAATAAACATTTTTAAAAATTAGTTTCAGCTGTACAACACAGTGCAATAGTTATACTTTTTACCCCTCAAAGTGACAAGCCCCCTCCCCCAATCCACTGCCCCACTTCCGCCCCATATCATACATATCCATTACAATTCCCTTGACTCCACTCCCACACTATACACCACGTCCCG